AACAAAGCCTCGGAGAACATCCTCGCTAAGGAAAAAGTTACCTCAAATCACGCGAAGGATCACCCCGTTCCACGTGTAACACTGTTTTTCGAAAGGTAAAACATGAAGTACAGTGATTTATTAAAATATTGGGTCACCTTTTCAAACTAAATAATTTCTTTAAAATTAGACCAAATGACATGAATTTTGTTGAAGTGTTAGGAAGACTAGTTTATCAGACACATTATTTAAACATTTTTTTGCAAAAATTACAGCTGATTTCAATATCAAAATAAATATAATAATTATTAAAAAATGATGTTCCTTAATTTTTTTATCTGGGTCTGGAACAAGAATCTAAACAATGATTTTTGTAGATCTCGGTAGCATATACGTATTGAAAATTTTATCGAAATCGAAGAATGTTATTACGAATGAACTGCCGATTTTTTTGCAAAAGAAAAATTGTCTATATTAATTGTAAGAAACATCAGTTCAACCCTTTGCACACGAATAGCGTCTCTGAGGCACGGCTAAAAATTGCGACATCATTTTTTAAAGTAATTTTTATATTATTAAATCGGTTTATATTTAAAAATACGAAAATGCAATACGAAAATAATATAAAATCAAAATAGTATACGTTGAAAGAAATATCTTAGTTTTCAATTCAATGTAGCTTCGAGTGCAAAGAGTTAAGGATTGTAAAAAGTTAAAAATATTGCAGTAGCATTCTTGAATTATTCCAATGCCCTTTACAGTTGTATATTTTATCTATTCATTTTTTTTTATAAATGCATAAAATCCGCAGTCTGTTTATGAACTACAATTAATGACAATCACAAATTTGTATAACTTTTGATCAATAACTGTGAGAAATCTGGACATTGTTAGATTTTTTAATGGTTGTAGCTAGCCTCTACGTTGATCAGTCATTTTATAATTTTTGTTTTGATTTTTTGTACAAATTTGTTTAGACATTGTCTAGTAAATTAGCCCACCTAACGTCTAAAAGAAATTCAAACAATCTGGTCATGCAGTCTAAAAATGCAAGCAAGTATTCGCGTGACTAGTGTACACGTGAAAATAAGTTACGCAAGGAGTGGGGGTGTTCACCGCGTGAACGTCACAATTCCCAGTAGACACGCCACGCCGCTGTACAGGACTCCCGGCACATGCGTTACCTATGCCACTCCTTGCGTAACTTATTTTCTCGACTACACTGGACGTGACGTGTGGTGACGACACACGATGACCATCTGTAAGCAAACGCGACGGGCAATACGTTGACGAATATTCGAAATTATTTCACAAGTACGTAAAAGTAGAAATTTTGAAGAAAATAACGGTCAAAATAAAACTTTTAGAAACTAACATCTTCAAATTGCTTTTTAAACTATTAAATTTTATCAAAATTGATGATGTGTAACTTTTTACACATAATTACCGTAAAAATTACTATCGAAGAAATGAAACGATAAACAAAAAACATTTCGTACTCTATTATTTTGATCTAAATTGATTATTTCCTGAATAAATTCTTCGAAACCAACTCTGCGTCAAATAAATATTATAAAAATGGCAGTGTGCCTCCTGATTATAACGTAGTTTAATGCCTAGAGCAGGGTACGGAATTAACCAGCATGCGACATTCAGATCGCGAGGGCTACACCTAAGCACCTCAGGCGCGTGTGCCTGTCGCTTTATATGCGCGAAATTTAGACGATTACCGGGGGGCAAGACGCGCGACGATAATCAGGAGCCGCGTATTGGTTAATTTCGTGACCTGGTCTAAGCATCGCACTACGTTACAATCAAGAGGGACATTGTCATTTTTACGATATTTATTTGACGCAGATTTGGGCAAAATTTAGTAGNGCGACGATAATCAGGAGCCGCGTATTGGTTAATTTCGTGACCTGGTCTAAGCATCGCACTACGTTACAATCAAGAGGGACATTGTCATTTTTACGATATTTATTTGACGCAGATTTGGGCAAAATTTAGTAGGCCTTCGCGATTCTTATGTTGCGTGCTGGTCAATTCCGTGCCCTGGCCTAAACCATTCTAGGTAATCAGTGTATCTCAAAGCAACTCTTTCGAAAAACAGACCAAGACAGATACTTTACGCAAGGTGTTCGACGATAACGATGAATCCTGAAGTCTAGATCGTAACTTTCCGCGCAACCATGCCAAGCACCGATACGAGAACGGAAGAGATCGTAGTAGCAGAAGTTGGCAAAGGCCCCGTCGAAGGAAGTGGAACAGCTGAGTACGAACAAAACCTCGACATACCTCCGCTGCCGCCGTCGAACCTCGCAAATTGCGGGATCATTGATCTGGAGTACAATCTGAAGGTCATGGCGTGTGTATCAGGATGGTTGGTATATTATAATTTATAATAATTATTCGTTGTGTAAGACCTGGTAAAATCTTCTCGGTTAAATATGAAATTATAAAATTGATTGAAAATATGTTCGTTTCATTGTTATTAAATATTACCTTTTGTTGTTGGAAACAATGAAAAAGCAAAGGGATCTTGGCATAGAATACAAACGTTTTATTAGGAACACAAACATTGCGTGAAATAAAATTTTCTTTATTTATTACACTATACTAAGCTCACTTTACTTTTCAAACCTTTTTATAACTTTTTACAGCAAACAAGTTCTCTAGACATCACAGATGAAAATATCGTCACTTTCTAATTTTAACTGATAAAGTATTTATGTAATTGTCATAAAACATCCAAAACCAGTGCTTCTTACACTGTTTGGTTTCACATGCATGGTTTGGTTTCAGGTATCACAGAAACTTGTCTAAGAACTCTTTGGTGTTCGTGGGTACCATACCGTTGGTAAATTATCAAACTCCCAGTGCACCGCCAGCGGACCCAAGCAAACCAGAAATCGGCTGGACAGCTCCAGAAGGACTACCAACATCGAATTTATATCCGAACTTACGTAAGCACATAAACCAGATTTTTGACAAATAATTTTATTTTAAATAATAAATGTCAAATCATGAATTAAATTAATATTCCAATTGTTGTATATTATGCAATGGACATTTCGTACATTGCTTTTGCAAATAAGATGTTATTTTTTTATTCGAATTTAGGTGAAAAGCAAATAACAAGTAATTCTTGTTCATTTTTCGTTTATTATGAAATAAATATTAATTTCTTTAATGATATCGTTTAGAGCTATTAAAGACCATTATGTATTTCCTGACTATGATGTGTGCTCGGCGCGTTCTACCAAATACGTAATAAATAATAAGCAATTAAATGATAATTAATAATTAACAATTGAGATTATATTTATAAGTAAGAAATACATTTTATTATCTTAAATAATTTATTTAGATCTATATGAGTAATAAGTAATTAATTTTGTCTTTTATTTAAACTTCCAAATAACAAATATTTTTTTATTTAAATGAACATTTAGTTAAACGATGCCCAACTCTGGCCATAATCGACGATAGAGTTGAAAATCGAAAATTTAATTTACATAGCACTACATTGCTACGTATTTAATGTATCCTGCACATTATGATTAACTTTTAATTGATTTGTTTAGCTCCACCGTCCTACGAGGAGTCGGCAAATGGCGCTAGGAGTCTCTGGGAACGCGGTGAATCCGAGCACGTGTTCGGCATTTCGAATCACTTCGCTCCGAGATATCCGGTCTATAATTTCGCACCAGTCCAATGAACAACGAAACGATTTACAGGAAACGATTGCATACTTCACAACGCTGCCTAGAAAGCACATTCTGGAAGCTTTATAATGGAATTAGAAATTCACGATTGTCACGAGCATTTTGAAGCTGATTGTTGCAGTTGTCGTAACTTTTCGTGCGAATATTTGGGTTTTTGAAAATTGTGAATTTCATTGAATTACGGCTATAATGCAGATGTTTACAAGATGTTTGAACTGTGACTTACACAATTATCCGCGAGAAGTTATTGCATTTAATGTATTTCCGTTGAAATTGCATACAAACTTTTCAATTATATGCTGCCACTAACANACTCCCAGTGCACCGCCAGCGGACCCAAGCAAACCAGAAATCGGCTGGACAGCTCCAGAAGGACTACCAACATCGAATTTATATCCGAACTTACGTAAGCACATAAACCAGATTTTTGACAAATAATTTTATTTTAAATAATAAATGTCAAATCACGAATTAAATTAATATTCCAATTGTTGTATATTATGCAATGGACATTTCGTACATTGCTTTTGCAAATAAGATGTTATTTTTTTATTCGAATTTAGGTGAAAAGCAAATAACAAGTAATTCTTGTTCATTTTTCGTTTATTATGAAATAAATATTAATTTCTTTAATGATATCGTTTAGAGCTATTAAAGACCATTATGTATTTCCTGACTATGATGTGTGCTCGGCGCGTTCTACCAAATACGTAATAAATAATAAGCAATTAAATGATAATTAATAATTAACAATTGAGATTATATTTATAAGTAAGAAATACATTTTATTATCTTAAATAATTTATTTAGATCTATATGAGTAATAAGTAATTAATTTTGTCTTTTATTTAAACTTCCAAATAACAAATATTTTTTTATTTAAATGAACATTTAGTTAAACGATGCCCAACTCTGGCCATAATCGACGATAGAGTTGAAAATCGAAAATTTAATTTACATAGCACTACATTGCTACGTATTTAATGTATCCTGCACATTATGATTAACTTTTAATTGATTTGTTTAGCTCCACCGTCCTACGAGGAGTCGGCAAATGGCGCTAGGAGTCTCTGGGAACGCGGTGAATCCGAGCACGTGTTCGGCATTTCGAATCACTTCGCTCCGAGATATCCGGTCTATAATTTCGCACCAGTCCAATGAACAACGAAACGATTTACAGGAAACGATTGCATACTTCACAACGCTGCCTAGAAAGCACATTCTGGAAGCTTTATAATGGAATTAGAAATTCACGATTGTCACGAGCATTTTGAAGCTGATTGTTGCAGTTGTCGTAACTTTTCGTGCGAATATTTGGGTTTTTGAAAATTGTGAATTTCATTGAATTACGGCTATAATGCAGATGTTTACAAGATGTTTGAACTGTGACTTACACAATTATCCGCGAGAAGTTATTGCATTTAATGTATTTCCGTTGAAATTGCATACAAACTTTTCAATTATATGCTGCCACTAACAGAGGAATTAGTTGATAGAGAATTGTAGAACCTGTTGAATATAGTGGAAATATTAAGATAAGATACGCCGGCAAATTTTTATGAAAAAATTGTTGTATCGATGGAATAGACTAATGTGTCAGTCACAGCAACTTTTAAGTATGCATAAGTAGAAAATATTGTTCAATTAAGTAATATTTTGTGATTAACTACAACTTTACGCGCCTACGTATATTTAAAAGTTGAATTATTTTGAGAAGTAGGTTTTTTTATTATCTAAATACTAATTAGAATTTCATGAATTATTATGAAACAGTTTCCTATGCTGCGACTTATAAGGGCTATACATTTAAAAAGATTTATTTTCACACGAACTGTTAATTACGTGAAGCAATTATATTTGAAGGAAAACGAATCAAACGGAGAATAGATTCGTTTGTGAAACTCCGGTGTCTCGAATAATGGAAGTATTTGGTTAATTAAAAACGCACAATTTAGAATCACTCAGAAAACAAACGATCAAAGTTTACATTTAGGGTTTTGTAATTTTACAACGATACAAAATATATTTTTTTACGAGAACGCTCGTAGCTGAGTATTAAATCCAAAGCAATATTCGCTACTTATATTATTTAATAAACGTCTGTTGTATCTAAAAATATTGTAAATTACGTATATAAAATTTATTATTATTTATATGTGTATACAATATTCGAAAACAAAGAATCTAAGCGTGATTTTCGGAAACGCCTTTATATTTATCATGTTGTGAATAAAATGTACGTTTTTGGTACTTCGATGGTTTTCAATTCTATTCCATGCCCGCGTTAGGTTGTAACATTGCCAATTGTACTATTCAATACACATTTCGATTTGAAACATTGGATAAACGATTTTTATCGAACCAATGTGCACAATTCTTTGTAATTCTTACGAATAGTTATCGAGAATATCAATTCAGAAAAAAATATGCTAGTTTACAACTTTATAAACAACGTATATTATTAAACAGGTAGTTAGATATAGTTGTAACAGTAACATTTATACCATAGTAATGCTTTATACAACATGCGTTCATTGTATTTTATGTTATAATCGTTAAATTTTATGATTAATTGTATAAATTAAAGGAATATTATATGTGATAATATTGAAAAATCTTTGAATATATCAAAAAATTCCTAAAATGTTATGTCAACGTAAGAATTAATAGTATGTTGCGAGAATAGATGAAATTATTTATTAAAATTATGTAATACATACTTTCTTGAACGTTTAAAAGTTATTTGCATCGTCCAGGCAAGGGTCGATTAATTGAAAAATATTGAATAGTACTAACGCAGACGTATTCATACTCGGGGCGTTCACATATTCACATACAAAATTTAAGATCTTAACGATATGAGTATTAATAACGATAAACTATCTTGACATATATGGTTGCCGAGATCTTTCCTTTACATTCCTAATTTTTGCAGTTTACATTTATTTATTTACTTACTTATTGTGACAATTCCTTAAATTTCAAAAAATTTGACATTTTATACATATTTTACATTCTCGACGAAATTTTCAACTTTTAATATTTGCGTTATCCAATTATTGTAATGCTACTCATATAGGCTGGGTTTTTATTTTGGATTTTTATAGAGAATCCTAGAATTCCCATTACTCTTCCTAGAATTCCCTACTTCCCGAACTCTACTTTTACAATAGAACCTTGATTATCGGAATTAGTAATAGGGAGACAAATGTGTTCCGATAATAGAATTTTGCTCTTTTTGTACTAAATTTGATATACGTTTTGTTGTTGATCTACATTTTTGTGCCATGTTTCAAGTAATACAAATGATGTATTCCAGCCTGATAACCGGTTTGATTCAAAACAATCTCATAACCAGCCAATGCTAGCTTGAAAATTAGAATTTCCTCATTAAAATCTAGCATTTTCTCAGTAAGATCTAGAGCTTTCTCTCATAGCTACCTTATCTATACTCATGTATAGATAAGGTAGATGTCCCAGTTTCCGTGCCTGTTCCAATCTCCATGTCCCCAGATTAAAAACGTATAGAAAAATAAAAGTGTTTTTCTTATTCTTACCTATTTACACATAAAATTCAAGAAGGGTTATTACATTTTTCATGTGTTAAAATATAATAAACATTTTTCGATTGTTGCTACAGCAGTTCTGAATCTTGTTAAAAATTGTAAGAAATGTTTGTCGAAGATTTTCGTATAAATGAATTATTATGACATAAGAAGGTTTCACTTGGTACTAACAACGATAATAAAACTCTAATTATAAATCCAGAAATAGGGTCAGATTTCAGAACATGTCCATATTTCAGTGCTCTCTTGTATTAGACCGCGCAATCAAACCTAACATCACGTTGTAAAAACAGTATTATGAGAAAAGAGAAACAGATCAGAAATGTTATTACAAGAAGCACAATAACTGCGGGAGATATCTATAAGGTTGAAACAAGGGGCATAGAAGTATGGACAGACACAGAAATACGGGGCAGGAAATTATGTGCGGAGCTCCTGGAAGGGCACAGAATTATGGTCGGCAACACCTTTCTTTATTTAATTAAAACCATCACTAAATTACTAATATATTTAAAATAAAAAATGTCTAAAAAATCGAAATGTATTTAATGACAGCTGCAGCGCAAAGCAAAAATTGGATTAAAAGCACAATAATTTGGACATTTACCCTATTTCTTTGACTCTGCATTGTTGAAATCATTGACAAAGGATAATAACCAGACCATTGTTTTTTGACGATTTAGACTTTTACGTGATGTACTAGGTTACATTTAATGAGGCAACATTCTGCAAATAATTTTGTATTGACGTTTGTTGTCTTTTATACCAGTAATATCGTCAATTTACCGACACTATGCTCTTTTGCCAACTTTTTAACACACTCAACATTTTTCAGTTTCTTAATTATTTCACCTTTTTCTTGAACTGACAATACTATCTGCTTTCACAAAATTATTATGTATGTGCATATACTTTGGAATACTTCGAATTTTAAATACTATGTATATCGAACTGAGGAGACTTGGTTTCGACCGTTACGCTCGACAAACTTTGATAGAAGGAAGTAAAAGTACGATGCTAGATAAATTATGCATGCACAGTACATAAATTTTAAAGCGTATTCTCGTTCAACTGTTATCTATTTTGATAGCGTTTACTGTGATATTTGCATTTATTGTTTACTATTTTGAATTATGACCTTGGATACCACGATCTATTTTTACGATTGTTATTCGTATCGATATTTGTATCTGAAAGGTAGACTACTTGTGTTTCCGACACATTTTTATACTGTCGTTAATATTCTTGAGGAGCATCGAAAGACAACTCCAAATATAATGAACATATACTTTCGATCATTTAACCTTGAGATATTTCGCCTCGAAATATTTCGTAGTCAACTTTCAGATGCAAGTATTTTGAGGTTAAAACAAGTACCTCGAGGTCCCAAAAGTTACATAAAATCGGGAAATGGGATCATTTGAAGTCACTTTTTTCTTAGCGCAAATGCAATCCGCGACTTTGTTTACGAGTTATTAACGAAGAACATTGACCAATGAGAGACGAGATCAACTAATGCGAGACGGACAAGCCAATGAATGGAACTGGGCTTCGTGTGCTCGTTACCTGTGCCTCCGTACGCCAGCCGAGCTTGCTTCTCATTGATCAGTGTTTTTCGTTAATAACTCGTAAACGAAGCTGCGGATTGTATTTTCGCTAAGGAAAAGGTTACTTCAAATGACCTCAGGAATCCACCAATCACAGATTGCGAGACATTTTTTAGACACCCTGTACAATAAGACGGAGGGATTGTCAGCAACTATAAAAACGAACTGCTTGGCTCGAATAATCGTACCTCCTCTTCCCAAATTGATCATTTTTGTGCACAATCTGAACGTCAATTAGGGAGAATTTACTATATGTATAGTGTACTAGAGCGTAAAGGTCTAAGAACATGGCTAAACCTTCATCGAATTGCGAATACTGAATACAACCATTACCATAATAATAGAACACTAGAGAATAGTGCATTAACGGGATTTATAATTTTATCATCAAAACACCTCCGGACATTACTATAGTAAACTATCTCTCATTGAAAACAAAATAATAAAAAATCCTGCCAACACATTATTTAACTCCATAAGTGTTTTTATACAAATTGGTATAATACACAAAATGAAAACAATATTCTTTTAATATACCACTGGAGTAGAAATAAAGCAGATAAGAGAATCAAAATAGAACAAAATAATCACACAATAAGTTTCGAAAATTTTATATAGTAAAATTCCCATCCCCATTTGCTTACATTATGTGCCGTTCGCCAGTCACTGGGACTATGATGTTCAAGTCTCGGTGCACGGCAACGCGGCTATGAATGAAATTCTGCGAAGGGCGAGAGCCTCTCGGCATCCAGTTCGTAAGGCAATTTAGGTTAGGTTTTGGTCACGGGCACCTCGTATGTTTATACTATGGTACAGATAAGCAGAATTATTATTATTATTATTACTATTATTTTTTAAATATTTTTAGTAAAAATATCATTGCAAACGGATATCATTTCGAGCATCTTTTATGATTTTAGTCTTACTGCTTAAGCCTGTCATCTGTTATCGAATGACTTTGTACTGTAGGTCGGTGGAATTGTATAAATACCCGCTACTTCATTATATATAGAAAAAATCTTATTTTTTAATTATCATTTAAAAAAAAATGAACGTAATTCTAAAATCATCAAAATTTCTCCACCTGTAAAAAAATTATTACTGTCACATTACCAACCCCTTCAAACCATACAACTTTTGTTAATAAAGTTTGTTTATATCTCAAAAAATAACTCAGGTATACAAGGTGATCTAAGTTATTGCTCCACCCTGTATATTGCATATAACATGTATCATTGTATTGCAAACATATTGAATCTAATCAACGATGTCTAACCTTCGATAAAATGCATGTAAGTTATCGCGAGACCGTTTTTTAAAGTTAGCATTAGAAAATTCAGACGAATGTGAGTTCGGCAAATCGACGCTGACCATGAATTCTTTCCGATAAACAAGGTTCTAATATACACATTCTAAGTCTGCCTGTAATTCTACATCTATGTACATCTACTTCTACATCTACATCAATGTAGTATATAATGACAGCTAGAAGCATTGCCTGGTCAGTCTTGCGAATTATTTACACGTACAATGGACAGGTGGGCTGGAAAAGTGGCACTTGTTACTGGCTCTAGCGGTGGAATCGGTTGGGATATCGCGAAATCCCTCGTCGAACACGGTGTCCAAGTGGTTGGTCTCGCGAGACGACTCGATAAACTGCAAGAATTGGCCGAAATATTGGGCAGAAACAAATTCTACCCTGTGCAATGTGACGTTGCAAAGGAGGATGACATTTTGAAAGCGTTCAAATGGGCCGAAGAGAAACTGGGGGATGTTGACATATTGGTGAACAATGCTGCAATAAGCAGTGAATCGATGATGATCGGTAGGATTATTTTCTCATTGGACTATTCATTTTCTTTTCCATTAACTATTTCAATAAGCTGACATGTATCAATGTCTTTTAATTCTTTGACTCTCTTAAATTTCATATGCTCATTTTTGCAGCAACTGCATAAAAATCGCGGCTTATTCATAAACGCGCTCACTGCGGTTGACTCGTATCCTTGTCACTCGTGACCTTCGAGAGGGGCGGTTTAACGCTGATACGTGTTCTGCATAACTGAATTCGGCTTCCCGACTTCGGATTCTGATGCTGAAGTTGCATTTGTAGCAGAATTTTCCAGATCTATCCCAAAAATTCTGCAAAATTTTTAAAAATCAAATAAAATTTTAATATCTATTATAAATTTATATAAAATTACGAGAAATTGCAATCCCTATTACAATTTATATAAAATTATATAAAAATTCAATTTTTATTATAACTTTATAGAAAATTACATAATATTAAGATTGCTTTAGCATTTAGCCAATAATATTATTGTTACAGATTCGTCTACCGAACACTACAGAAAGATAATAAACATTAACTTACTGGCGCCCACGATATTTGCGAGGGAATTCATAAACGCTATTAGGAAACGGAATGTGTCCGGTCATATATTAAATATCAGCAGGTGAGTATTACCTTAGGGTTGTATATGTTGCAAAAGTTGTTTAATTCATATCAAAAATTTTTAAATCTGCAACGAAACAATATCAAGATCTTGCGTACCTTTAACAAGAATATTGTTGCGAATTCCTTTTACTCCTCGCGACACGGCATACAATAAGCGATGAACAATTAGATATTAGATCTTGTTCACTCGACTGCTAGATATCGACTGCTGACTGTTCGACGGCACAATAATTTCGTGACAATCCCTATCTTCTATCATTTCATAGGGTTTGTCCACCGCAGGGCTGTTTTACATTACGGCGATTTGATTTATTTATTAACATATTAACATTGCGTATAACTCATAGCATAGCTGGACGATATCCGGAGACTTTTCGCGATCCAATTGGAATATACTGTGTTACCAAGTCTGGCCTGTATGCTTTGGGGGTGGAACTTCGCCACGAAATCATGGCATGCAACCTTGACATTAGAGTGACGGTAAAATTTTGGTATTATTTTATTACGTTATTTATTTATTTATTTATGTAATGGAATCCGAAGTTATCTAGTGAATGCTGTACTCAACTAAAATTTGTATCTATCGCGATTTATCAGGTCGCAAAACATAGTAGAATAATTTATTTAATCCTCCCATAATGATCATCAAAAGGTGCGCGACTTTTTTGTATTGAAGTCTGGATATCGTTTATAGACTATCAATCCTGGAGTTGTAAAGACGGACATGATCAGAGATTGCTTGCCCTGTATCGACGAACTTTCAAAAGAGGTGCCAATATTAAGCGGCAAAAATATTGCTGACACAGTGATTTACGCATTAGGATCACCTCC